AAAAAAAATCCTTTTTATTGCATTGTAATGTTTTTCTACAACTTTAAGTGATAAAAACATGTATTTTTAATTTACAATAATTTGTTTATTGACTGCATTTATATTATAATTTTCATTTAATTTTATTGTAATAATATAATATAATATTTATAAATAATGAAATAAATGATTTTGTATTATTTTATGTAATTATATTATTATTAATAAGATATTAATTTTATATATTATCTTCGTAAAATTCATATTTTATTTATGGATTTTTTATCGAAGGGCCTCGTAATATTTTTTATCCATAAAGATATTTATGTATATTACTAGGTATAATATTTATTGTAATTTAGAAATGATAGTTAGAGATAAACTGGTAGCCAAATTGGAAATCAATGTAAAATTTTATTCACCGAATTATAAAATGATTCCATGCTTTTTATCGATTTTAATTAAAGGGATTATTACCGTGACCTTTAAAAAATATTATTCATATAGATTTAATTTAATGGCATATAGTTATGAATTATTTTTAATAGTTGCATTATTTTTATTTTATAAAACATAATAATTTTAGCACTTTAATTCCTCGAACATAAATCACTTAAGAGATTTGAAATAGATTTTTTGAATATATAAATAACTTCGAAGAATACTTTGAATTTTTTAATAATATATGATATAACTATTGTTTTTATACGATCTCGGATACGTATAATTCACTAAATACAAATACACAATAGAAGAAAAAGTAGCCTAAACGAGCCTGTGCAGACATGCACTATGCGTGTATATTCACCAACACACATACATGTGACTTTTTATATATTTATAATATTGATAAAATACATTCTTCGTAATAATGTATATAACAATTGTGTGTGCGCGCGCGTATGTGTGTGGGGGATGGATGGGTAGGCGTGTTGAAAAATATATGAAATGTTTACAAATATATGAAATTGATAAAAGTATTAATACGTTTTTTTTTTAAACGCAATTATATCACACTAAGGCACATTCAATTGGAACCATAAAAACGTTCATTACTCTAACGTTACTGATATTTACATTTTTTCATTCATCTCGTGCTTTTTAATTCATTTAAATCATTATATACGTATAATTGAATAAGTTTATAAATTTCTTGCTGAAGTGTCCAAACTAATTTTTAAGATCGTCGATACACTTTTAATACACCTAATATAATCTGAAACTAATACAAACTTATGATATCTCAAGCTACGTGGTATTTGTTTTTATTCGAATTTCTTATTAGTTTATTTTTTAATAAAGATCATTTTCATTTTCGAGTTAAAATCTACATTATGCATTAAAAATTCATTCTCGTAGGTGGTTTCATATAAAAAAAGGTTACGTAATAATAGGGTAAAATTCGTAAATACATACTTTTTTATTGTTTTATAAATGAAAGTGACCTAGTCTAGAAGATGTAAAATGAAACGATCGGGCTATAATTGATACAAGTTCGATAATGATTATCTAAACTGATACTTTATTAGCAATTCTAGAAATTAAGTGTCTGCAAACTATAAAAATTGGTATATTACCTACCCGAGTTAGGAATATTTATCAATTTTTGTGAAAATATTGAGCCCGATTCGGTTATAAAAATTAATAAAATAGAAAGAACCCTATTGAAAATCGAATGAATAATTAAGGAAAAAATGTTTTCACTAATTAGACTAAATTAATCAAGCATTTTAGCGCATTAAGGTAATTACAAATTCTGATGTTACATTATAATATTGGCTTGTTAGCTTATTTATTGAGCATTCAAAAACCATAAGATATCATTGCCATGAAATCTATGATCATAAACAAAATTCCGCATGAAAATCAAATAATTATAAAAACGAGAAATAATATTAATAATAATGCTACCTAGTAATTGTTGATTTTTTAATTATTAGATTGGTTTTATGAGGTTTAGTGGAGATGCTCAAAATCTCCAAAGGAATTCTAAGTGTTCTTCTCTTTCAAATTTATCTGTAACTCTCTCCCTTCGTCCGGCTTTTTCCCTTTCTCTCCTTGGTCTTCCCTCCTTTTATGCTCCTCTTCACTTTCCTTTTTCTCGCTCCCCATAACATCCGCACAACAGTTCATCAGCGGCGTTCGCTTAAGAAAGATGATAGTCGAATTCTGCTCTACCGGCGTACTCGCCGGTCTTCTCCTACTCGTCTACCTGGCCTTCTTTTGGAAAATCAATTGGATCCGAGTGAGTAATAAACATTGACTTATTGAATTTGCATTACATTATTAAACGTAAGCTTAAGTAATGCCGGTGGTTTCGTTTAGCCGCACACTAGCTGCAATATTTTGTTTACATAATTAAAATTTACATAATTTCAATATTAAGTCGCTATAATATAAATTTAGTTGTTAAGTATTATGCAACATTTAATATTTCATACTGTACATAATAATGATGATAAACAATGCTTTATAAAATAATTAATTATAATATCGCTACACGTGTGTGGTAAGGCGATTTAATTGAAAGCTCTGAAAATATTAATTATAATGAAAAATAATAAAGATTTATTTACAGCCTTCTTGAACTACAATTATGCACATTTTCCTTTCAGTTAATGTGACTTGAGGGTTTTAAATATATTGAGAACCAACCTGCTATTGCGATAGGTATATATTTATAACGTAACACTTCGACTCATCCTTATTCATTTGTAATATTATCATTTAAGATTAAAAAAAAAAAAAAAAAAAAAAAAAAAAAAAAAATCACACCAAGTTAGGCAATAAATATTCCCAAGTGATTCTAGTATTTTATTGCAAATAAATAAAATAGATAATACTCGGATAAATCATATGCCAAATCAGCCGTTAATCAAGTATTTACTGTATATCAAATAATGTAATATAATTAAATCAGTAAAAATATATAAAAACTGATTTACTAATATATTAAAATACAAATGATGAACGACTGAGAATAAATGGTAAAATTAATTTCAACGATATTTAAATTCTATTTTAAATCTATTTGCATTTTTATATTTTATATGATATCTTCTTGATATATAACTTCTATTTTCTTCTTAGTTGAGGAATATCATATATTTATAAAGTATATGCGCAGCATATATCATGATCAAAAGAAAGAACCGAATTATAAATAAGATAATAATAGATAAAAATGACATCAAATATTTTGCATTCGTTTTGGAAACACTAAATGTGGGAAGCAAATTTCACTTTTATTATATTAAATGTAAAATTTGTAAATAGAAAATACGTATGAATTTGTGCGATATAATGTATATTAAAGATTTTTCTTCAATGAAACGCATTGCATAATTTATATAAAAACAATATTTTATAATGAATTAAAAAGAGTCCATTAAAAAGTCTGGAGCCAAATATTATGTGTGTATTAAAAATTTAATATATAACTGAATTTTGCTGGGTCGGTAAAGTAGCACTGCGCATACGGACAAAAATGAAACTTCATAATTATATTTAAATTAATTTTTAAACAATAAGTAAAATAGTTGTGAAACAAATAGTCATTGAAACTTTTATTATGAAAGTCAAACATTTAAAAGCCTAAATTTGCACATACTTTAAATATCTGTAAATGTTTTATTATTTGTATAAAACACATTTTGTATAAATTTCTATAAATTATAAATATAAAAGGGTTTGAATAATACTAATATTAATCTTTAATACGTATGATCATTAATATTGTTTAACGCTTAATTATATATATTAGAAGTAATCAACTATTCTAATTTATCTACTTAACTCATTCTATGATAACATTGTGTCACATAATGAACTAATATATAATAATTCATTTAATACATTACTTATTAACTCTAAATGCATACGTAGAAAATATTATTTATCTATTTTAATAAGTGTTTATATATACAATTTCTTCTTTTCTTTTTTTTTTAACTACATATATTTTATTATTTGTTATTTATTATGTATTTCAGAAACCGAAGAGAAAATATTATTTATCACGTTTACAAAATTATTCAATATTATAATATTACATTTTTCAGTAAATAAAAAAGAGATAGAGAGAGAGAGATAGAGAGAGAGAGAGAGAGAGAGAGAGAGAGAGAGAGAGAGAGGCATGCTTAATCGTAACAAATTTAATTAGTAAGAAAAACTTTGTAAAAACTAAAGACTTACACCGTACAATATATGGTAATAAATGATTTTATTAAATTAGAAACTCAAAAGCCAGCATAACGAACATTATAAAATTTTGAAATATTAATATGCCGTGTAATGGTTATTAGAAAGTAACCATAATTTGAAGGAATATATGAAAATATTTTGTACATACAATGTAAGAAGACTTTATTTTATTAAAGATGATTATACTGCTTCATATTTATATTTACCTTTCGCGTTATTTTCAATAAAAAAGTAAAAATGAACACTTTCCAACAAAAAAAAACTGAAAATTGATAATACGTGCAATCAATATTATAAATAAACAAATTATTGAATACGAAAATTTTATACTGCTGTCGGTACGTGGTACTGCAGTAAGAATCCTCCTTTACCGACTGTTTTAAAAATTAGCTAACTACATTCGAGGCTAAACAATGAGGAGAAATTATATGGAACAAATACTTTCTTAAAAAATTTCTTAAAAACTTGATATAATATGATATAATAAATGTTAATTAACATAGAAAGATTTGTTTCAATATAAGAAGTAAATATTCTTGAAAAATAGATTGTTTCAATTTGATAATTTAGAAATATTTTTAACGTAAAAAATATTCATCGTATTTCATTGAGTTAGATATATTAATTGCATATAAACGAAAAGTAATTGGATCATTTTTTATTATGAATTAAAAGAATGTTAGCATACAATAAAATAACAATCATAATATCATATTATGTGTATACATATCATATATGTATATATGTATATATGTATATATATATATATATATATATATATATATATATATATATACGTGTGCTTGTGGGTGTTTCTGTGTTGGTATGTACATGTGAGTCCGTATACTTTTCAGGATCTAACAGTGTCGAATAGTAGATCCACGAGTCTATTAGAACGGTATAAAATAAAAAAAAATCGTCAAATCGGTCAACTACCACCAGTTTATCCCAACGGTTGGTTTGGTCTACTTGAAAGCTCTGCATTAAAAAAAGGACAAGTCGAGCATGTTGCAGCTCTTGGTGAAAACTTCGCTGTCTTTCGGTATGAGAAAATATCTTTTCCTTTTAATTATTTTAATTCACTATATAATATTGCTTATATATATGACTCTTGTATAATAATAAATAATAATGTATGGCTAACACATATGAATAATATTTCATGATAAATGAGTGTGAAAATAAGAAATAAAAATATTCACATATTTTAAAAATAATATTAAATCCGTCAGAATACATATTTTTTAATATAATTAATATTATCCACAAGACATATTTATTTGGCGTATTTAAAATAACAAACTTTTGAAGTCAAGAATGGTTCGGAAAATAATTTCATTAAATTACATTAAAAAAATTTTAAATAATTCAATTAATATTTTGTAATTCTTAATTAATTTTAAATAAAAGTTATCGCATAGTGACAATATCGATGGCATATAACACGTAAGCAAGTTTTATAATTAGCATTAAAAGTAAAAATAATATATTTTATATTAATATTTTAAAATAGTTTTTGTAAAAGGAATAAACATTTAAATGTACATAAACATTCTCCGCATTTATTTAAAAGTAATAATAATAAACAAATATCAGATTGTTTTTCGGCCTAAAGGCTAGTCAATTTTTCAAATCTAATAAATAAAAGTCTTAAAATTTTATAATTGATATTTTGATCTAATTGATAGACTCATAATAATTATTATCCTATATATATATATATATATATAAAGAAGAAATTATTAAAGTATTATAATTTAATAGATTGAATAGAATGACATTAATTTTCATTGATTGAACATAATATAAGAACTACAATGTAATTGTACTTTCAGCATAATAATTATCCTCATTACTACCAATCTTATTAATCCATATACATTATATTAATGAAAACGATTAATTTATCAAAAAAGATCAATTAATTTAAAGACTTTTTAATAATATAATTTTAATGATCAAATAGTCTATATTGATTTTATACAACTGGAATATATGTCTGGAGGACATTTCTAATTCTTACGAATTCTAACGATATTGTGTAATAATGTTTCACTTATTTTAGCAGAATTAAGATAAACGACGAGTGATTAGTTCTACTTTTAATATGGCTATCGATCAATTTGTATACAATGAAACAATAAACGATGACAATACGATTAGAGAAAAAAAAGAATGTGTTGTCTCAGTTTAATGAAACAGTATTAATTCGAATTAACGTTACATTTTAATCTTTAAAAGATTTTTTATTTTCGGTAAAATAATTTGATGCCATTACGAATGTATTTCACATCTTTCAAAAAATAATGGCGAATTTCATTAATTTCAATAATTTTCTATTGCTAAATTGCAGAACCGAAAGTGGTACAGTACGCATCATAAATGCATACTGCCCACATTTAGGAGCAAACATGGCTGAGGGCGGCCAAGTTAAAGGAGAGGAATTGGAATGTCCTTTTCACAGTTGGCGCTTCTGCGGTGAAACTGGAAAATGTTCTGGCATACCATACTCCAAAAGCGGTAGATTCTTACGTTAGATATTATGTATTTTTTAAAAAATTGTTAATTTACGGTCGATCAGGAACTTTAATTTCATTGAAATTCTAATCGGTATGATTCGCTCCCATCGTTATTACATTACGTACTATTAGAAATCATAGAAATTATTTATACATATGTTTGGCATGTAATAATTAAACTATTGAAGAAAAAAAAAATGTTATTAAATCAAGCATATAAATTTTCATGCTTAAAATATTTATCCTTTACACATTGATGTGTAAGAAAAACAAATACAAATTATTGATAAATTAGTAGACACAAATAGTGGGAAACGTTTGTTTTTAGTGCCAGCAACGATCAAAACAAAAGTGTGGAATAGTCTGGAAGTTAACGGAATAATTTTCGTTTGGTATCACGCTGAATTCGCATCACCCAACTGGTGGCCACAGCAAATTGAAAAAATATCAAATGGGACTTGGAAGTATCATGGGCGTAACGAATTTTACGTTAATTGCCATATCCAAGTACGTTTACAAAACTGACTATTCAAATTTTATAAATCCATAGTGTATGAATGAATATTCGTAACTTGAGAAAAGACAAAAAATAAAAGAAAAAAAAAGAAAAAATGAAAAAAGAAGTACGATGACGATGACACCAATAAGGTGCTCACGTTTATACGATAAGGGTTGAACGATTATACTCTAAATCTAACAGGAAATACCGGAAAATGGTGCAGACTGGGCACACCTTAGCGCAGTCCACGGTCCCTCCGTACTCGCTACCGATTTCATCTCTAAAATTGTCTATCACTCGTGGACCAATGTAGCTTGGACGAGCAAATCATCGGATTCTCAGAAAAGCTCGTCTTTTCTCAATGAATTGGACATAAGTGAAGGGCCCTCGGATCAAGAAGGGAGCAGAGCTCACAAAGCTACCAGTCGTCTACGGCACAATCTTGTTCTCTTCAAGAAGTTTTCAATCCTCCAGCTGGACGTTGAGGCTAGTCAAATTGGCCCGGGTTACGTAGAGTTACACATCGACACTTCATTCGGCCCAATGTGTATTATACAAACAGTGACTCCCTTACAGCCACTCCTACAAAGAGTCACTCACCAAATGTACGCGCCGATGCTGGTCGCGCCTTATTCGAGGATAGTGCTAATTGGAGAAAGTATGATGTTCGAAAGGGATGTATTAGTGTGGAACCATAAGAAGTACGTGGAAAATCCAATGCTGGTTAGTGAAGATAGAACAATTAAGGCCTATAGGAGGTGGTACAAGCAATTCTACTCGGAAAGCAGTCCTACGTACAAATCATGCAGGAACACTATAGAGTGGTAGTTTAAAGAGGCCAGTTACATTGAAAAGCCAGAGTAAATTTTATTTATTGTTATATTTTTATGTTAGACGCTTATTGACGATAATTGCTTAATGAGGAACTTTAAGCAACAGATAATTTGCAAGAAATCAAGCCGACAATAAAAAGAAAAAAAAAAATGGTTAAAATACCTTTTATCGTACTTAATTGTGTGTTAACGGTATTGTCGATTCATTCTCATACAAATAATCTAATCATCTAGACGCGAAGGTAAATTTAAGTATACGTCAATCATAATTGTGTCCTTAATAGAGGTCACTTACAAAATATGCGCATATCAGTATAGATACCGTAACTATTACAACTTTCATTCGTCTAACATGTAGTTATTTATTTTTTATCAAACAGAGTATTTATTATTCCAAATATTAATCAATTCCTTCGAAGTTTAAAAGAAAATAGAAATGATCGCGCTAACGCATACAATTCATATTCAATTTGATATAATAATAGGCTAATAATACAAATGCTAATTACTAAATAGATTGTTTATCACTATAATTATAATATTGAACTACTACTATTATTAAAATGAAAAACTTCAATATTAAATATAGTTGAAATCTATAAGAACTCAATATTACAATAGATGTGATGCCAAGAAGAAATACCTCGAGATCGAATTTCCAGGCTCCTGTTGAAGCACGTTAAAGAATAACGTTGCTAAGATTTTCAAAAAGAATTGATACGATTTAATTTAAAAGCACGAGAAGGCTTATGAAATATAGTATATTTTCGATTATGTAATAAGAAAAGTTTGAGAGATATTTAAAAATTCATAGAACCTGCGGCTATGATTAAATAATTCTAAACTTTAAACACCTTTTTTTTAAAGATACTTTCTACTGGCTGATAATATATCTTCATCAATGTACATTAAATTGTATAATCAATATTTATTTGTATATATTATACAGTTTAAAGTATATATATATATATATATATATATATATATATATTCGTTTTGAATGTGAGTTTATTTTAAAACATCATTGTTGCATGATTTATTATTATCAAAATACTATTTTTCTTTAAATCCAATTGTAATATATAAGAGTTTTTATTTCTTATTATAAATTCCAATCCTAATCGTTATTAATTATAAATGTGAGTTTATTTTAAAACATCATTGTTGCATGATTTATTATTATCAAAATACTATTTTTCTTTAAATCCAATTGTAATATATAAGAGTTTTTATTTCTTATTATAAATTCCAATCCTAATCGTTATTAATTATATCCCATCCATCCATCCTCCAATCGTTATTAATTTAATACAATATCAGATAGACAGTTGCTAAAAAAAAAATTGTTATATAAAATGTACCTTCAAAAACAATAGCGGTTTAATTAAATTTTTATTTAATTCAGAAATGTTACATTTTTTTATAGTATGAGTAAGAAAAATAGTTAACATATTTTCATTATAATAATTATGTTTTAAATAATTTAATTTTCATTACATTTTCTTTCTAAAGTGATTGATTATATAAATTAAGCAAATTAAATTTTCAATAATAAATTTTAGTCCCTTTAATTGACATATATAATACTTTTTAATTTGTTGAAAATCTTCTTCGGATGTACAAACTATCTTAGATTAAGAAAAAATTACAATAATCCTAGAAAGTAGAAGGTCTCAAAAATAATTCCTAAGTAATTATCTTTCATTGTCATTTATAAATTTCTCCCTTCATCTATATTATTCTCTGTCCCTTAATTCTCATTACCATCATTTTTTATCTCACTTTCCCTTTTGATTATACGATTTTTTTTTTTTTTTTTTTTTTTTTTTTTTTTTTTTATTATTATTTTAACATACGATACATAACAGTCAAATTTTTGCACTATTTAAGCAATTGGTAGTTTCCTCATTCTAATCAACTCTTATCTGGTTAGAAAATAATTTAAGTGAAAAAATAATCGATGAATTTAACATAATTCTATATTCAGCTATAGTAGCAACCAATTAATTATAATTTTTAGAATTACATGCTAACCAGATTTTATCATTTTAAAATGTTTCTCAGAAAATTATTAAAACTAAAATTAGAAAGCGTAACTGACAAAAACGGACGATATCAATAAAACTATAAAATAAATTAGACTAACGGTTAAACTGATCGAATTTGATAATAGGAATAAGATCAAATCATGTACTACAAAAGTTTTGGGACAATAACATATAGCGTATTTAATATTTAAAAACCGAGGATATATGTTCAAATGCAAATATTTGTTATATTGTGCTTATTATTTTAGCAACATAATAAATAGTTATGACTATGTATTACTATGACAATAAAAATTGTTTTTCAAACATTTCTTAAATCGAATATTGATTGCACTAGGGTAATATAAAAAGTTAACATTTTAAAACTTGTATTATCTATTCTTATTATAAATTGGTACAATTATAGATTCCTTAAATTATAGGAAAAATTGTGGACATTTGCTAAAAAAAATATCTCGTATTGTAGAAAAGTATTTTAAAAGCTTACATTGTGCAATTTTTCGTAGGCGTAAATTCACTTTTCGTCATTTTACGGACATTTAAAAAAGAATGTTTTTTTTTCGTATACGCAAGCTTTTCTCATACGTAAAAAATTTTTTGTCTACATATGAATATTTTTGCATACGTAAGACTTTTATATCAATCTTTCTATTTTATGTGAAAAATTTCGTAGGTAGCTAAAATAATTAGATAAGTTTATAAGTTTCAATTGAAATTTCGAAATTAAAAAAATTTCTATATTTATGACTACGAATGTATAAAGAATATTACATGTTGAAATTTTAATAAAGTGCGCAATCTAGTTGAAAATCAAAATACCCTATTAACATTTATAATTTAGCTAAGAAATGCAGAAGTTGTTAATGAAGAAGTTATTGTAATTAATGGCAAAAAATGCGTAAAGTATTGATATATATATATATATATATATATATATAAATCCTAATAATCTATAATCAGTCGTGTGGAAATATCATTAATTATTTAGAAAAATATACAAATAAAATTAAATAAAGTAAGTATTAAAACAGTATAATTTATAATAAATATAATTGACTTATTGATTATTTTGACTAATTAAATTTAATAAATATTTATACCTTCGAGCATTGTAAATAATTTATTTTTAATCTTATGTCGTTTCATAAAATTATTATATGTTAAAATATTCAAATATACAAATATATATATATATATATATATAATAGAAAAATATTATGAATACCTTTTAACTGCAAATTAATACATAATAACACTAGTTAAAAAATATTAGTAAATTTAGAATTAAATAATTTCAATATGATATTCTGTAAGAAGTCAATCTGTTATATAATTGCCTTGGAATTTTTCATTAATCATGATGGAAAGGAGTTTAAGTAGTTTTATTACAATAAGAAAGAACGTAAAGACTCGACGAATATATGCTTTTAAATTCTTGAGTAAATTTTCAAACGGAAATTATAAAAACAACTTGTGTTTAAAACACTGCATGTTATTAAAATCAAGAAACCAAGAGACATTACATAATAACAACTTGATTGTTTTATTATGGTATATAAGTACGCCATATGTTATGTATTTTTGCTTTCAATTGTCTTCCTTCAAATAACAAAACTAAATCCAAGTGCAAATTACTGTTATATATGAAAAAGAAAAAAAAAAAAAAAAGAAAGAAAAAGAAAAAATCGTTTAGTAGATTTAGTAACTATAGAAAGTGTAAAAAGGGTTACTACCTAATACTTTCTTATTTCTGGTATTACTCTACAGTAAGGTACTCATAACTAAATTAATTAATGTATTGATGTGACACTTGAAAAATATATATATAAAAGCTCAAATTGTTTTGTAAGAATATTGATCGGAGTAAAAAGTATAAAAAAAAATATTATCGAAGAAATTACATCATCTGTCGCTTGACCAATTCATTATACATTATTCTAGATCCTCACAATTACTTACATTCTACGCAAATTTCATAATCATGTCAATGCTATATATTATAAATATAAAACCCAATTATTTTTTACACATGACATAAATTTCACACCCATGTTCGAACAATTCCTTATTAAATATTTCAGTCTTATCGCGCGGTTTATAATTAGAAACAAATAAAATTCCTACAATCCTTTACTGGCCGGTCGATCCGTTCAACATTATTACACATAGCGCTTGAAATACCGTATGCAGTATCAAAATGTTTAAATTGCTCATGAAACCACTGCGTGTCGTACTTGTCACAACGTATTTATTTATAAAATTATAATCCGCGTATGTACGCATAGAGCGAAACGTCGAGCACATTTCTGCTTCAAAGCGACTCATTCAAGAAAGCCTTATAGTCCTCGGTTAAATCCCTTATTCCTTACCATTCGTTACGATACCATGAAATGATAATAAATTTAAATATTATAATCTTAATGAAACGAAATTTACCAAAATCAATGACGTTCCAATGAATAGGGTCAAGTTTTGGACATAATTTATTGGTGTAGCTGGAGCGAAAGTGATTGCATTACCAAATAGTTTTGAAAAAAATTACGACTAGTTTCGGACAAGAAATAAACCCTCTTTCGATGCGATGGGACTGTAGAAGAGACGAGGAAAAGCGGAGGTCCCGAGCCTCCGTAGCTCCTCCGTAGTCATTCCAGCGTGAGAACAGACGAGTTTCCAGTTGATCCGCTCTCGATCGCTGTACCTTGGACAATAAAACCGGTTGTGTGCATCTAATATACCTCTTTAGCCTAATTATTTATCTCCTCCTCACACCCCCACATCCCGACTTTTAATCGTCAGTTAGCATAATTCGTAAAAAGCAACATCAAAAACTGTATCATTTGAAAAATAAAATAAAACGCCAAATTGACGTCGAATAGCCTTGTTTCAATTGCCATACTTAACTATAATGCCATATTTTTCAAAATTATTTTCTACAGTAATCACAAATTTACATAGGATATTCTCCAAGGTAAGCCTACCTTAATAACCTGTTATTTCAAAAATTTATATATCCGAGTTCGCATAGTTATTAACTAAAAAAAAAAATGTACATATATACATATATATATATATATATATATATATATATATATATATATATCTAGATATATAGATATATAATAATAATAATAATAATAAATAAATAAATAAATAAATAAAATTACGTTTAAATGGTTTTTTTCCAATCGATTCTCAGTTATTTTTAGGATAATAAAGTCAATTTTCCTTTTTAAGTTGTTAAGCAAAATAATAATGTACAATAATAATACGTTTGACAGAGTAATGTAATTTTATTTTTTTTTTTTTTTTTTTTTTTTAAATTTAAATTTTCACCAGTGGCTGGAGCTATCTTAAAACTTTACTTACTACTACATTTAATAGACTTAAATTTAGAAATTTCTATTTATATTAATTTAGACGAAAGAGAAAAGTCATTTTTATATGAAGCAGGTATATTTTGAAATATGTATCATCTATTTAAGGGATTTGAATATAACCTGAATATTAGATTTTACAATTCATGAGATTAGTGTGTTACATATCTTGTTGAATAATACAAGTTAAAAACTTTTGTATAAAATTGTGAATCGGATTATCATAATCAGCGCCGATATAAAGAATACATTTTTATCAGGCGAAAAAAATTTTTTACAAAAATACTTAATAATAAAGCGGACTATGAAAATATAAACCTTGGATTATGATTGCGTCAATAAATATTGATTAATAAAAAATGTTATTAAATATTAATGAGCAAATTTCAATATTATAAATGGACATAAGTGTCGGTAAATTAAAAACAGTTATTATACGTATTATATTTACGCATGGGGTGCGCGTATTTTATATTTTTTCTTCACTCGTCGAGGCAACTTTGAAAAACTTTCATAATAAAGAGTTTAAGGCTAAACAATTAAGGAGCGAAAATTATTCATAAAATTGACACAAAAATGTCTTATTCCCTGTGACGTATATTGGCTAATGAACAGTATAATATTGTTGTTGAAAAAATTGATCTTTAGGAAATTTCCAGACTAAATAAGAACTATCTTGGTTGGATTAAGAAATGGTGCGAATGTTAAAAGAAAAAAAAAAAAAAAAAAAAAAAAAAAAACGTTTAAAAAAAAAAAGAATGAAGAAATAAACAACTTCACCAGTGCAAATATAAGGAAAATAATACTTATTTTACCTCGTTTATTGACATTGCTCGAGGTACGCTATCTATTTATTCTTTACATAACTTCTATAAAATTAGATTAAATCATTAATTAAATTGTTCAATTTATAATGTAATTCAATTTATAATTTATATTTATTTCTCGTATGTTTTAACTTACTTAATCATAATAATTGTTTTTGTTTGTGCTGTTCTATTATAAAATAGCAAAAGAAAATGATTTATGTAGTACTAATGATAATTTTTGAATATTGTAATTTTTCAGTATTAATAATAGTATTTCAGCTCTAATTAAACAAATTAATCATTATAGTTTTGTTAAATGCATTTAGCGATCTAATGCCTTAATGGCTAACATTTAATTTCTTATAATTTGAATGTAATAATTAGTAAATAATAATTTGTTATTAGAACAATTTTTGAAAAAATTGCAACATTGTTTCAAATAGCGAGAATAATATTTATCTTTTTTTTTTCTTCTTCTTTTCTTTTATATAAACTATAGTTTGCGTAAATAGTAAAATGAACAAGTTTAAATATCAAAAGTACAATTATAATTCATAAATTCATTGATAAAATTAATATTGATATAAATTGAATTGATACGAATAGAGATACAATTAATTATAATATTATAAGTGTTTAGATTGGTATTTGTGCATTTTGTGTGCACGTTTGAAGTAAATTAGAAGCCAAGATTTTTTTACAACAATCGAATTGTAAAAGAGTAATCTTTCGAATTATAAACGTAAAAAACATTTAATTTCGTCTGCAGTACATTAATTGCATTAATTTAATATTTAATACTTATAATGTTAAGAAACTAATTTATGCCGAGTAAAATAATATTGAAATACTTTGCATGAAAAATTTATAATTTTAATTAGGAAACGCATTTATGCTTCGATGTAATTAAAAGATATATTTAACGTAGCTGCAGTGCCATCATTTATTTCAATATCTTACACTCGATCACCACGTGCACTCTACAAATCTCAGCTCATTGGTGCTCGCATATGCGCGAAACATTACAATATTATTATCTCGTACTTATCTTTCACGCAGATGTGTGATCGCTAATTGGGTCATGCGAGATTCGATATAATAATTTTACGAAGAAAATGACGTGTCGCATACTGATATTGTCGATTTCAAGTCCCACTTCATTAGTGGGACTAACCAACGATATTACGATATTAGACATTAATATGGAAAAATGTCATGGATATCATAAGTATGGATAAAATGTCATGTGCACATTACGGTAACTAAAACGCTAAAGGTTCTTGAAACTTTAGAGCCTAATTGAATATTGAAAGTTCAGTGTTGAGTATTAAAAATCAAGTGCAGCTAGGTGGAAAATTCAGGTGATGTTGAAAACTTTTTGTCAAACGATGTGGAAATCTGAATAAAAAAATTAATTTTATTTAAAACACCTTAGTCGCTTGTTTGAATGTCGTAATATTTAGCAATATTTATCAATCAAATTAATTTATCAAAACACTCGTATGTACAATTAAAGAAAGATTTTAGATTTAATTTGAATTTATGTTTACGTGATAAATCGTGCGACGATATTAGATGAAAATCAATGGAAGCCTCTATTACGCGTCTGATAGTAATTGCTGTGTCATCGCTTTATAGATTAATTTTACAAATTAATTATACAAGCGATACTTTCTACTATCCAATATGATATTGGGAAAACCAGATGAAAATTTTCAACTTAAAGTATCGTTGAATTAGCTTCTATTATGCATCTAATGATGAAAGATCTAATAGACTCCTAATGATCTATTGGTTTTCAAATGCGGTATTCGTCATCTGGATTACTTATATTAGCAATCAAAAAATCATAGAAAATAAATTAAATAAATTGCAGGCTTTTCGAACGTATAATTCAATATTGTTCGATAACATGTATGAATGAGATATTTTTAACGAAGAGAGGAGAATGTTATCAAGACTAAAAAAGAAAAAAAAAAAAAAAAAAAGAACATAAGCGAGGAAAAAGTAGATAATTGATTTTAATCAGATTGTCGATTGAAAAATCGAGAATCATATAATATTTACAAGTTTATCCAAGGATTTGTGTTATCAAATTATTATCCAAATTACTTATCCACGTCTAATATAAGAAATAAGCATTTATACACACATTTTGTCTATTTATATGCAAATGTTAATTTAATTATCAATGTTTGACAGCGTTAATTTCTTGAAGGAACAAAAATACAGTGATTTAATAATATAACATATTTTCCTTCCTTTCACGCAAGTTTCTGTAGAATACTTATATGTAACTTACAAAAACATTCTCGTCTTATGTAAGGGACAAATTTTGTAAATAATACTAAAATTTATGTGTAATTACAGTACATAAGTTGATATTAATTTAGTTGACTAATTATTCGTTCTACATATTTTATCGCGTATTCTCTCGCAATAATTTAACACAAAACAGTGAATTACAAAAATTTAAATAAATTTTCACTACAATCAGAAAATATCATAAAACACAAAATTTCGCTCGAAGAAGTTTCTCCAACTATTTTACCAGCTCTCACTTACATTATCAATGTTCTTTGATATAATTTTTGGTGTTAATATACAATAGGATGAACAAACACTTTTCTACATATGAAATATACCTGCAAACATATAAAATAGTTTAAATTAATATAAATGCAAAAGGCCTCCTGCTATTTCCATTATAAATGCAACAATTTCGCTTCATCATAAATAAGCTAAGTACACTTATAAAAGGCTATATATAATAAGCCTTAAAGCAATTTATTAATCGTATTATTTTATGGAATAGTATAAATATTCTAGATGTATAAAGTTTAATGGAAAAGAAACAAATACTTACTTAAAAAAAAACAACAAAATAAATAAATAAATAAATAAATGTGGAATGTTAAGAAGACGATGAACCTAGTGCGTTTTCCATTATAGCGATAGTGCATCTTTTAATATATTCCGATAGTTACAGGATTTAAGGGGAAAATTGCGGTTGCCCAACAGAGTATTGATCAACGTAATTTTACATTACGACCTTAATTAAGTCTACGGCGCCGTTCCTCATCACATTGTAAAATACAATAATCTTCTGAAATTAGTATCTTAATTCAGACATGTCAATATTGTTGCCAATACTAATAGAGAAGCGAGACAGCAAACACGCCTGTTCTTAATAATACTAATTCTGTTTAATACAGCATTGGACAAGCACAAACGATCCCCCGTAAGTTGTAAATTGAAAAAATTCGACATTAGCATACATTTTCGGGGATTTGATTTGCTGAGCCGAGACTGGAGTCTGGCTCACTGTAGGATGTAGCTCTTGTAGCTGCGGACGGTACGTAGTTTCTTCTTAATAGCAGTAATGAGATCCGACGGCTGCAGGACAACAGACACGTCACGTCCCCGGGCGTTCATGCGTTCGCGCGCGCATCCCTCGTAAATATTCACTGGACGGTTATTAACTTCCGTCAGCATCCAGTTGACCGTCGTGCCGACGTCTGTGCTCGGATCCGCAGGATTCGCAAAGGCTGAGAGCCCGAGAATCTGGGCACTCGTCGAGACGGAAAGGATTTCGTTTGCGGGGCCGACCTCGAGACCAAAATTTTCGGATTCTGTTCGACGGGTCAGGGTCGTGACGCGTCCGTGCGGTAATCTTCTAACTATCATTTCCACCTGATATATAAATGAATAGAAGTGAAGTACATTTGATGATCGGTAATGCCCAATTTTTATTCTTAATGTCTATAATATTTGAAAAACGGCACAATAGAATATTCACAGCCACATCAAATTCTATGGATTAAAAATGTGGCTTCCTTTAAAATAAGCACGAATTAATCATTTTTTAATTGATACGGTTACTTTCAACAAATTATTATTTTTTTTTTTTTTTTTTTTTTTGTTTGAAAATTTTTCTTCTTTACCGATAGTCTGCATATGCTTTCCTTTCTCGATAAGAATAATTAATGCCATAACCAAATTAATGAAAAATATTAACATGGGCTATATTATTTATGTAATGTTGTAAATGTAAATTTACTTACACGAGGATATGTATAATTTTTTAATATATCTCTGACTGAACTTGCGCCATTTAATGAAATTCCGGCTATGCTTAATACTAAATCTCCAATGTGTAATACATTGTAGAGTAAAGGATGCTCCTTCTGCTTCCACCCTCCTATCCTGCAATTGAAAAATTAAAATTATCGTGTGATTCATGATGTTTCAATGTTTACTTGAAGCAATATAATTGTAAGAAAATATTTTGTTGAACTTTATTAAAGTAAAAACAAAAACCTGTAAATTTTAATTAGACGTTAGATTATGTGGCGGCAACTATGTTCTCAATGCCGTATATTATCGTCATCGAAATCTCGCACATTCACGGCGTCAAAGCCAACACTCGAGATATTCGTAAGAATAAGGTAAATAATAAAGAATATAATCGGAAATACTCGTGCAAGTCATAATAATATTAAGAAAATAGAACGAGCGCGAACCAGACAGCGCCGAAGCAGTCGACGAAAGCGATCCCGTCCTTGCAATCCCGCCTGCCCAACTTGAGTCGCACACCAGCCGGATGACTCATCTCCTTGCGTAGCTGTAGCACCTGATGCTCCCGCAAAGTTAACTGGGTCCGCGCTTGACGGACTTGACTACCGCTAGCTATGCTGTTGGTGCTAGCGGTGCTAGCGGTGCTGGCCGTGCTGGCCGTGCTGGCGATACTGGCGGTACTGGCGGTACTCGCGGTAATGGCGGTAATGGCGGTACTGGCGGTGCTGGCGGTGCTGGCGGTGCTGGCGGTGCTGGAGACGCTGGCGAAATTGGCAAAGTTGGCCGATGTCGACGCTGCGCCGCTAGCACCCATCTCCGTGCTACGGCATTGGATGAGAACGGCGTACTGCTCGCCCTCGTCGCTCGAACTCTGCGATCTGGAAGGATTCCAGAGCTGAACGTTACTCTCCTAAATCTGCTTGAGTGGCCTTGAAAAAGTAACGTATCCGAGCAGGCAGGAATACGCGTAAAGACTACTAGTTATAGCTACTTGTGCCGTTTAAATGCTATTAGAAAAAGTCGTGAGATTCCGATGATATGTCAAACGCAAGGGAGATATTCACCTGCTGGTAGATGCGTTGCTCGCCCTCGCAGATTCTACGTTCTGCGGATAAGTCGACGATGCAAGAAAAACACTCTCGTAGCTAGAATTGCCATCGGTACTGGCATTACTAGTTACCATACCCGTAGCCGTAACCGTAGCCGTAGCCGTAGACGTAGACGTAGCCGTAGCCGTAGCCGTAGCCGTAGCCGTAGCCGTAGCCGTTGCCGTAGCCAGTGCACCCGCACCCAATGCCGGTGCCGTTGTCGATGTCCGCCGTTGCCGTTGCCGTAGCCAGTGCACCCGCACCCAATGCCGGTGCCGTTGTCGATGTCGACGCTGCGCTGCTCGGTAATCGAGGACTAGGTGGTACCGGTGGGGCTGAGCGCGTCGGCAGTCTCGTGCTCGTCCTTCTTTCCTCCGTGGCCATGTCATCGAAGGTGAAGACGGTTGGTGCACTAGAAGTCGATGGCGACGACGAGCTCGAAGCTGCTCGCGCGTTCAAGGCTCCCTGAGCACAACATTAACACGCATTGGTACTTTCTCTTCATTTACCAATCGCTAGTGAAAACTGTATATTTAAGAAGCTGGAGCCGTGCTTTGGCTGTCGATAATAATATTGGTTTCGTGTGTTAATATTATAATTTGATCGAACTTGCCAGTAAAAATCGGAGGATTGCGTTAAAGGGAAATAGCGAAATTCTGAATAATATCAAATAAATAATCGGAGTCGTTAATTGAGTATGAAAGAAAAGCAAAAAGTAAGGAGAAACAAGAGGTAGGATATCGAGGGAGCATTAATTATAATAACGAGGCTGAAGAACCGAGGGCGGCCTCACCAGGTTTGGTGGTGGTGGCAGTGGACTCGTGGGATCTCTCGTGGCTATCCTTTCGGGGCCCTTCGAGTACAGGTTTTCCTTGGGTCGGAGGACCTTCATGTCGGTGAGCTTCCTCGTGACGACCTGCACCCAATCGAGCATAGCTTGATAAGTCGGTGCAGCGAGACGCAATATTCGATCGTCGCTGAAGTTCACGCAGAACTCGTAGTCGTTCTTGGAGGTGGCGCAGAGCGTTGGCGAGAGGTGCAAGGCGTTCCTCAATGATTGGCTCCATAATGGGACGTGGGAACTGGCTTGCTTCTGGTCGAGGAAACCCTCGAAGCGGGGCTCGGCATCGTCGTGAACGCAAAATGCCACCCAGCACCGTAACGTGTCCTTGTCGGGTTTGTGGCCTGTGTCGGTGCGTCGAAGCCAGCCGTTCTTATGGATCTCTCGAAAAAGCACCGGAGCACCACCACCAGCTGGCAATTTACAAAAATCGATGAAAATTCATATTCACGTATGCGATTATTTTGCAAATTCAAACGAAGGTAGAATTGTTATGAATGTTGTAAGTTGCCACAATTTCCTTTGATATTCCAAATATAGATAGGCACATTATAAATTATAGGGATATTGTGTTTGTTTACTCATCCACTATTATTCCATTGTAACGTTTAAATAAACATTAAGTACAAACACGTTTTCATAAGGAAAACAAATTTATTATAATTAATTTTAATAATTATTCCCCTCCGTATAAAATGCGGGAAATAAATTATACAAACACCATATGGAGTTTGATATCGTTCAATTTTCAGTAGTTTAAATTTTAATCAAATAATTTGAGAGGAATATTACAGGATGCGAGGGATTTTCTATATGCAAATACAATTCTTCGTAAAGATAATTTTAATCAAAGGAAATGCCATTTATTGTTTAGCATTGAATGATTTGCTTCTGTTCTATTAAACAAACCTTATACAATGCTAATTTAAAACAAACAACTTATTTGAAACAAAATTCAAAACTTTTTAAAATGATATTACGATATGTAATATTGTTAAAATAATCTATGAAATTTCTAATTGTTTGTAAATATTTGTAGAATTTTTTAACATATATATATATATATATATATATATATATATATATATATATACATATTGATAGTAAAATACAAAAGCTATACGGTAAGAAATTAAATTTAAAAAATAAAATTATAACGAAATGGATAATTATCGTATAAGATATAATTTTACATGATTCTATAATTTTTTTTTAATATTAATATTTTTATTAATGGTACAAATAAGAAAAAGAATTAAGAGAAATTTTGATCGGCGTGCAAAACGTATACTTGACACGTATAATTATAATAGATCACCTTCGTTAGCGGATGAGACAGCTTGAGCATCAGAGTTGGATCCACCGTCTCCACGAGATCTATCATCCGACGTTCTTGCCATTTCTGTTAACAATCTAACGGCTTGTAGCATTTTGATAATAAAGAAAATCTATGTAGTATTTCAGTTTTCTTCCAGTCTTCCGCTGCTCAAAGTCTAATATCATTTTATAAAAGATCGTAGCCTCTTTGGCTGAAATGGTATTTGCATCGAGAGCATGTAATATGCAACCGATCTAAAATAAAAATATAAAAATTATATATCTCAACAATATCGAAATTCGCATCAATTAAATGAACAATATTGTTAATGTCTATTGCTAGCTGGCCAATTAAATATATACTATTATTTATTTACTTAAATTCATTGTTTGCTGACATTTATAGTCTTTTTTCGGTTGATAAAATTATTATAGCAACAGCTGCTCCAATGGTAGGGAATATTTCCCAACACAAACAATATTCACTATGCAAGTTAAGTAATTTTGTTTGTATATTTGGACTAAAATGGTGCGCTTTATTCCGATAACACATAATCTAGTTTCTCTTTAATAGAAAATAAAGCCAATGAATAAAAATATAAACAAACACAACGACAACAAAATCGTGATTTTGGTTAAACTTTGTTTTTTTCTCTTACATTTACTTTGCAGCACAATCTCGATAATGTATTATGTAATAGTTTGTAGAAACCCACACAACATTCGCAAAATATTAAGCACAATTATAAAGAGAGGGTAACTGCATAACGTTATAAAAACTCGTTGGGTTTTCTATATTAGGAAAAGAAGAAATACAATATTAAATTGACAAATCCCTGTAGCCATGTTGAGTAAAATTTCAGCGGGAAATTCAATTTTTTCTTAAATTAAAACTCGTCCTGTACAAATACGTTTTTCCACTTAGTATTCGCGCGATAAAAGTGATTGTATTTCTATTGTTAATCATTGATAAAAGAAAGAAGAAAAAAAATTACTAATGAATTTCGAAGTCTTATTATTATAAATTCTTGGCAACTGGGATAACTATATATATATATATATTTTTTTTTTTTTTTTTTTTTTTTAAATTATTTACAAAAACTTTTGTTTCTTTAGTGAGCAAAAATTAGCAAAACCAATCAACATTGAATTTTTATATACTTACGGAAGATTTTACATTAGGAGCAATTACAAGGTAGATAATAATTATTATGTACTATGTACTAGATTAACAACATAAAAAAATTGATTTTATTTCTAACGAAATATATTGTATCTTACAAAATTCGTACGAGAATTCTTAAAGGTAATAATTTAGCAGTATGAACTAATATAACTTATAACAATTTAACTTTGTCGTCGTCGATTAAAATACCAGATACTTTGATAAGTTTCTTTTCAAATTTCGAAGTTGCTTTCTCCAATGTAGCGTCTGGAAAGTCAGCCAAATACTGAGCTACAACTTTTTTTCGAAGCTTTTTTAAGGAAATTTTACCTTTTATCGCAACAGTATCTAAAATGACATTCTTCCAACTAAATTTACTAACACTATCTTCGGTAATATTATTCTCCGTCACTGTATTAATTACATTATTTTTACTTCTTTTATCACTTTGATGATTGTTTTCATTCTCATCGGTTTCTAATAACCTCTTTTTAGACTTTTTACTATTTTTTTTCTCTGTTAAATCTTCTGCATTGTCATTTTCTTTAAAAATATTAGAATTATTTTGATTCTCTTCCACGATCACATTTTCTAAAAGAGAAAATTATATCAAACACATACGATTGGTATTGAATTTTTTATTTTCATAAATTTACAAATACTTACGTTTTTCAAGTTTTTGTATGTCGTCGTTTACATCGGCTGTTGCTTCCTTAAAAGCATTTTCCATTATATCCCAAACGCTTTCAACTACCGACATATTAGCTCTGTTACTGGTCATACTTCGAATGAAATTCATGAATTTTGGTTTCTTTCTAGGAATATTATCGTACTTTGATATCGAGCTCAAAATATTTCTCTCCGATACCGTCAAATGTTTAGAATTGTTTAATACATTTTGAACAATATTTAACCAGGCTTGCTGCTTCCTTTCTCCTTTATTTGAATTTTTTGTCGGTACGTAATCTTTGCCGCCATAACGTTCGTTTTCGCTGACACATTTAGTATGGGCAACGTATTCCTGGTCGCTATCAAAATATTTATTCAAATTAACATTTAAATTAACGTTCCCCAATATTAAAGCCAATAAAATTGATAGCTTTGCTCTGAATTTCTTTATTATTAATTTAAAATTGCCGGATAGTATATTCCAATGTTTCATCCACATATAACAATTTAAACTTTAAGAGAAAATTTGAGAAATAACCGATTGAAATAATGGAAACAATGCTTCTTCATAGGACGATGCATTGGAATTAAAAAAAAAAAAAATGGATAATAAAATAAAATTTTGTTTTTAATATTAATATCGTGTGCATCGTTGAAGGTAGTTGGAAGATTTTTATTTTCATAAAATAGTCATTCGTCTCTTGACTTACCGAAAATCTTTGAGACAATCCACACAAGTGACAAACACAGGATTACGACATTGAAACTGATAATGTTTGGCAACCTTTGGTTTTTGAAGCGAATCACCACAATTGTTACACGTAAAGACAACCATAATTCATCGATCGAACTCGCTCCAATACTTAATGCCTAAGTACTTTTATTTGGTAACTTTTCTCCAAACTTTAATCTAATAACAATTGTTCAATTAAACACATCGCTTATAATATTGATTATAATATAAATAAAAATTTCATAATTTTTCGATAACAAAATTTTTCATGCAATCTACTCGTACATGGACCCGATTTGTTAAAAGAATATAGCAATACATAATACTCGGAAGGGAAACTATTGAAAAAAATCATTTGCATTATTTGAAATAAATGATGGTTCAGAACCATAACCTAATATTGAAATGTAAGATTGTAAAGTTATCCAAGTGATTCGCGCAATTAATGGCTTAACAAATTTACAATAACATTACTATTATAACGGGATTAAAATTTAATATACTCGTCGGAATTATTATTTTTATAAAATAAAGAAATATTACTGATTTTCAATTCAAGATCCACGTGATCATTCCCATGCACATAACAACTTGCCGAGCCGCAAACCAAAAGCATATTCGTGCAAATACAACGGCGCTGTGTATTTATGCGACAATACAACCTAATCGGACATCGCCTACTCGCGTTCCATAAGCATATCGTGAAAGAGCGCTATTTTTTATTTTTTTTTTTAAATCTATAGAGACACATGATTTGGATGATCGCAAGTAAATTAAATAATAAGCAAAAGGGTAAATGAGCGAATTTATGGAGAGAGAAAAGGAGGCCGTAACAAACTACGAGGCATTATTCCTCTTTAATACAGCGTATTCTTAGCGGCAATCACGCAGTAGGTGAATGGGAGTGGATGGGAGTGGATGGAGGGTAACAGGGATGGGGAGAGAGAGAGAGAGAGAGAGAGAGAGTGAGAGGGAGGGGGGAGGGGGTTTGCAATGGTAAAAAAAAGCTCGAAAGCCCCAGGATTCTTACATCGCCTCAGATCTCAATAAATATCTCCGTAACTTTTATTGTCCCTTTATAATGAACGCGAGATCCTCGCGTTGCGGCAACCTTATTCTTTTTATCTTCGGAAAAATTACGGGCTAGGCCGAGATAGGCTCGATGAGTATATTTTCCTATTTATATTAGACTTGAGGATTTAGCGTATGAGCGGACGAGCGGCTAAAGCGGCTAAAGCGGCCCCGCATAGCAAACCTAACGTGTCGGCTTGTAATCCTCGAATTTTGGGACTCAGGAGAAGCGAAAAGAAGATGAAAGAAGGTGAGAGCGGTGAGTGGCGAGTGGTGATGTATATAAGACACCCCACCACATGATATGCGCTTTTCGAGCCACGTAGTGAGTTGCGCTAAGGAAGGCTGACAATTTACTTATCAGTTTGGAGTTGGATGCATAATAGAGAGAGAGAGAGAGCTATGCGGATTGGCTATAAAAATTGCATTTAACTTTATTGTTGTCGGGGAGCATAATTTTCGAGTCGTATACTATACTTGAGTGTATGAAACAAAAAAACAAAAAAAAAAAAAAAAAATTTCGCTTTTTTTTTTTTAAATATCGTATAATATTGTAGTTTGTTGACAATAAAAAACAAAAATAATAATAAAAATAAAAAAAAAAATTAACGTTCGCTGCACGCGACATTGTATTTTAATATTGGCGAGTTTGTTGAGTGAGAGTTTAAAGTGCTACGAAGACAAGGGATAATAATATCCGTCTGCATGATAGATAGGAAGGCGATTCGGGCCATTCACGGTGACGACAAAATGTATCGGCCATGTTGAGACTTTGGAAACAAACACAAAGAACAGCGTAAGGCTAAGAGTATGCGTGTGGACATTTCTATTGTGTATGATAGGGAAAATAAGTAAGTATACGATGCCAAATTCCTATGCGCATTCTTTATATTTTATATGCAAATTTGACGTAGCTTACTTAGCAAACTATTAGTATAAAGTACGAGCATTGTATTTATGAAATGTATAGGTTTCGCGTACATTTGCGTTTGTGCTGTCGTGCCCTGATATATATATATATATATATATATATATATGCCCACACTCATGCATGCGTACGCATCTATACTAGCTGTAAAAGAGCATTTATAATTATTTAAATATCACTTGGATCTATTGCGTTCGTATTCGAATTATTGTCTATTATCGTGAAAGTAAAATCATGCTCAGCATTCTACCGGTTCGACTCGGCAAAATATCCAAAAATTGCACGCTCCGAGATGCATTCACTGTATCATAATGTAAAAATGTCACAACGTAAAATCAATTCTTAATTGCTGCATCTTTCAATAAATTGTCTATTTTCATCTATCGATATAACGAGTAATTGTTATATCCCATATGAACGTCTGCTTCCGTTCGCTTCCTAATAACGTGATGATAATTCATTTCCACATCTAATGTGAATCTTGATCTATTCTTTTCTATTTTCTCAGCTGCCCCTTTTAGTTTTTGCTCTCAAGTTTAATCCGCCTGCTCTGATCTGTCGCTCATAGTCAATCTTTCACGTTTTACCAAGAACGTGAGTACACAAACCCACGCACGCACACACACGCGCGCACGCCCGCATATTACAACACACACACGCACACACACGCACACACACACACACACACATATATATATATTTTTTTTTTTTCCTTTAACTAATTTTTAATGCCCTTCACTTTCCCTTAGTAAGAATACTAAAGCTGGGAAATACTGTATTTATAGTATTTTAATGCGATAACGAGATTAATGACGTTAGTCGACTTACTATTTTTGCACCTCTACACGATTTCAAAATGGTTTGCTTGTTTTTATAGACATTTGAATCTACAAGGGTATTGATAATGTGAACAAATGATTTTCTACTTTCACACTGTAAGTTTGCTCTTTATTTAATTATTTTTCACACTATAAAGAAAAAATGTAATGTAAACATTCTCATAAAAAGGGATAGGCGTTCCTAGGTTATGTTTGACAATAGCAATTAAAAATGACAAATTCATTACATTTTAAAATTATTCGACATTATTATCATGATACTTTATTATGTTTCAAAGATTATTTATACGAACAATGTGTAATAATAACAGTTGGCTGTTTGACTTAATTTTTAAATCTTTCTGTTCAGTCCAATATACTGTTAATGTATGCTATTTTAGACATTCTGTCAAAACAATCACACAAATCTTTAGCGATTATTGTTTCAAATTTCTTTTGAAATTTTATTTTAAAAACGCGCTATAATAAACATAATTCTCTTTTATAATTTTCAATATACTTTTTCATTAAATTTATTTTTACTTTGTATTTTATATCGTATAAAATCATTCGACTCTATTGAATCGTCTTATTTCATATTCGAAATATCATTATCATTTTATTTTTACCTACAGACATTTCATAACGCTTTATATTTCTCTTAACAAACTTTATGCATTACATTCAGTAATAAGAAATTATTATACGTAAAATTATAGAATTCCTAGAAAATATAAGAAATAACTCGATCGAATCATTTATTAATGCATAAGTAAAGTTATGCGATTAATATTTCTTTTTAAATTGATGCATACTATATTTTGCTTATTTTTGCCATTAATTTATATTAGTTATTTATATTAATTAAATATTTCAATTTAAATTAATATTAAATTTAACAATTATTTGTAACTGTTAATTAATCGTTGATTAATTTATCAATGTATAATTTGAGAATCATCTAATGTTAACGGTACATTATTTGTGGTTTTAATAATATAAATTTTTATAAGAACCATAGGATTTGATAATTAAACAAATACAGTGAATTAATAATCTTTTATTTTATGTTATTTAGGTGATTTGACCATTATTATTATAAATAATAACAAGAATGGAAATGAATGATGAATTGATGAAATTAAATGTATTAGCAATAATGAAATTTACTGACTGGAAACCAGAAATATTAATATTGAAATTAAATTCTTTATACACCAAAGCACTGGATGGTTTAAGTGAAAACAGTTATATCTATTGCTTAAAATATATAAAGTGTGTCGAATGGTTAAAGAAACAAAAGATGAATAAAGAAATCCTGGATAAATATATTTCATTAAACAATGTAAGATATATTCCTTCCTTATTCTTTATCTCGTATCTCTTAGGCACATACATAGATACAGATAATATGTCTGACTTATTCGTTTAATTATTATTGATAATAATGTAATTATAATGATTATATTAACTATTTATTTCACTGTTTATATACAGATTGAAAATATTAATAAACAGATGCAGAGATTTAAAGACAAGATACAAACAAAAAGCATTAATTCTAAAGCTACTGTGAATGCAAGTTCGAAGCATAACAATGATAATTTTCTTAATCTTCCGGATGTTCCGGATGATGAGCCACAGCCAAAGGAAAACGATGAAATCACTTGTAACGAATTACTCCAAATTCTGAATGAGGAGAGAAAACATAATAAAAAAAGATTACTTATAGTTGACATAAGAAGTAAAAAAGATTATTTAGAATCAACACTAGCATTCCAAGACAGTTTGATTAACATTCCAATCGATATATTAGAATTAGAGTAAGCGTTTATATTAATATAGAGTATTTTATGAAATAATGAATAGCTTCATGTAATATAAATTCAATATAAATTAAATACAAATCAATTACTCCACTATCTATCTATAAAAATTGTTAATAATTAAAATAAACAAAAGAAATTTTTCTTTAAGTTGAGTATATTGATGTATTAAATGTATTAAGTACGTGTATTAAATTGAATGGAATTCAAATAGCATTATTTTTAATTAAAATGATACTTATTTAAATTATTCTTAGTTTCATATTATCATATTATTTTCAGTATAGTACAAGAACATTATAATTTTCTGGCACTTGATGTTAAAAATGTAATAGAACATTTTAATGAAAAATCTGTTCATATCGTTGCCTTAGTTGCTTCAAACTCTTCCTTTGGCATTAAGAAAAATAGTAGTTCTGTACAATTATTAAAAAAATTTTTAGAGAAATGGAATATATTTCCAAAAAGATTCGTTATTTTAAAAGGAGGTTTTCAAGAGTGGAAAAAATGTTGTCCATCGATGATTAAACATCGCACCGCAAAAGAATCTGCTATGATAAATGTAAGTTTTATATTTATTTTTTCGAGAAACTATAAAGTCCCAAATATACAATTGAACATTATTTATTATAAATTTTGCAAAATTATTTTAATTCTCTTCATTTAATATGAGATTAACTTGTCTATGTATGTTGATAATTTCAGGCATTAATTTTAAATTAAAATCACACAATTTTGTATATTTACATTATATGAATACAATGTTTGGGTGTAATTATTTTTATAATAATAATTAATCTTTGATTTACTTTTTTTAATATTTCTTGATAACCTTGCATGAAAAAAATAATTAAATGTTCAACAGAATTATGTTTAATTATATAAGAATTGAATGTAAATACAAAACATATAAAATATTATTATTCTCATTAAAATTACAATTTAATGAAATTATGTATCCATGCAACAAAAATTATCATGTATAAGTATTATTTTAATATTTAATTCATTTTGTATGCATAACTTTAACACAATTTTATACGATAACATTTATAATTGTTTGTAATTCTTTTAAACACTTTACAATTGCTAATGTAAATTGTAATGTAAACTAAAAATAATAATGTAATAAATTTTAATTTTTTGAAGGATATATTGGATAACATATCTGATCGTAAAAGTTACAATTCCATTTCATCTACTGAAAAGTTATCTCCAATATTATCTACTATACACCCACCTGGTGTAAAAGTTAAGCAATTTTTACCATCAAATTTTGAAGCTGTAAGTTATGTCTTATATATTATTTATTGATTAAATTTATTCGCTCTTAAATTAATTTTTTCTTTACTTTTATGCAATTTTATAAATTGTATTTGAATCTGCAGAAGTGGAATATAAAAAAAATTTCCTATTCAATATGTAAATGTATTCATTGTCGTCAAGGTTGATCTATTTTTCGGAAAAAAAATTTACATTCCCTACATTCAATTACTGTAGAATATTTAAAATTTATAATATATGTAGTAAAGTATATTTTCTTCTCCCTATTACCGAGCGCATGAAGTAAAAAGCTTTACACATTTACAGAGCAAGAACGACGCGAATACGTTGAGGCTTCATAATGAAAATAATCGAGACCCAAGCAACTCGACAGATAACTTCTCTAGCAAATCTGAGGTCATGGCTAATGACTCGCGGCTTCTACGCAACAATAACATGAAACAGGTGAAAATTGTACTTGATAAAATACCAATGGAATCATGTACAAAGCTACCATTAAAACCACCCGTCGATCGTAGCAATAAGCCGAATCTTGATCACAAATTGTCCGATGCAAAAGATTTGCAAAAGAACTTTACCGAAGTGCAGCGATCCTGTTTGCAGCATGAGAAAAATTATTTTGACGGATGGTCTCGAGAACAAAGCGACACTCTGAGAAAATCGAGACAAGAGGTGGTAAAATTTTTATGTTTTATAAATTTATTTGTTTTGTAAATATGGTCGTAATAGCAGTCGTAATATGGTGATTTTTAAATACAGTAGCCGTTAGGAAAGTATCGAGAAAAAATGTAGACTTGTATTATATTTTGACAATTTTGAAATTAAAAATAGTGAGAAATTTTATTTTAAAGTTTTTAGTAATTAAAGAAAAATCTGAAAAAGCTAGATTTTGATTCATTTTAAATTTCTTAATTTGAAACACAAAACTTCTCATTCAAAATAAGTGTAAGAAAATCAATTTTTTTCATTCGTAATTCTTAAGTATCTAAAACTGTAGATAAGCCGTAATAATAATAATTATCTCATAAAAATTTCCTAAAGAAATATATTTTCCTTGTGCATACTAAGAAATAGTATTTACATTTATTTATTTTTTCAAGTTAGCAATTAATATTCCGAGAGTAGCTATGAAATGTTCAATCGTGTAGCTTTCGTTTAGAAGTAAGATAAATAATATGCAAATATTAAACTGCAAAATCCATTTTTCTCTAATAATCTAAAAATATTTCGCTTCCAAAATTTAGTGCATTTTGTCATTTATGTAAATAGTGGTGCGTGTGGCGGGGGGGGGTGCGCGCGTGTGTGTTTATACTTAAACTTTAAGTAATTTTTAGAATGTAAACGAAATAAATAAATGTGTATATATATATATATATATATATATATATATATATATATATTTTTTTTTTTTTTTAATAAAAATTCATTTTTGTTCATAATGTACAAAATGCATTTAAAATTTATATTTATAAATGATATATTTTAATATATTAAAGTTAAAATATTAATCTGACGAAATATTTGTATCTTGATTGCGTATTATTGTAACTACTACTAAGAACATGTAAAAAAATTAAATTCCAGATTGATCGCAAAAGTTAAATTCTACTATTTTTGAAATTAAGATTTTTCAAAATTTCACATGATCTCGAGTTCTTATAAGATCGATTCAATTTTAACTACATTTATATTGTATTTTTTTAATTTTAATTCTTAAGTGGCAAGAGGAAGTATGATTATGAAAGAAATCTTTAACGAGGACATATAAACAATTTTCTTTAATATTCTTACATCTATACACTTCAATTAGTATCTCATTCCCAAAGGATTCTATACGCTTTAGTTCACAGACTGGCAATAATGATGTTAAATATTAGTAAAATGATTATCTTACATAATTAACTTGTAACAATAGGGAGAAAATGTATCGAGAAGTACACTCTTGTTAGCACATATTTCACAAAATGCGCAAGATTTATAGACAAACGGTATGCAAGTCGATATCAAAAATCACAAGGACAAGGGAAGGTAAAGGTGAATTCCTAATTGACATGAGTGACGAGTAGCAAGAGGAGAATATTTGTTGAAATAGCTAAAAGAAGAAAGGATTTATTTATTATAAATCGTTTAAGATAATAATGTAATTTGTTGCCTAACAGCAAAAGAATTAATTGCGTATACAGAATCGTATGGTTAATTTTGAAACGACGCGAAAAATCTTAGAAATCATTACGGATATGAAATCTGATTCTGAAATGTATCAATTTACAAAAAACACGTACGTATGATACTTTTACAAAGTCTAGGAAAATTGGAAAAATGAAAAAATAAAAATAAATTTATGAAAGTTATGGAATACAATTATTAATAATGTAAATGTCGATAAATGCATCTTTAATAACTCGTCTTTAGCTCAGTAGAATTGGAACTGAAATTACTGAAAGAACTGAAAAAAAATGTATTAAGTCTTAATTTTAATACTAATTGTTCTGTGTAAACATTATGCAACTATTTTAAATAATATAAAACAACGTTTATATTATATTATGTGATAAATAAAATATAATTAGCGACATTATATTGAACACATCTGTAAAGAATTTGTTTTTAAGTTTTTGTAAATCGATTTACAATCTTAGAATATTTATTTATGTGGCACTTGTAGATTGTGTGTGTGTGTGTGTGTGTGTGTTTATGTGTGATTTGATTGCATAATTGATTAATTATAACATATTTGATATTTGTTTTAGAAAACAATACTAAAAGGAAGAAAAGAGCAGGCACGAATATATCCAGATTTATCGGGTTTGCAATTACAACGTAAGAAAGAAATTGAGCATCGAGAGCAATATATAAAGTATGTAAAATAATGACTTATAGCTATTTTTTGTTTCTTAACGAGTCAATAATATTTTATCAATTGATAGTCGCGACAAAGAAAATATTCAAGAACTGAGAAAAAGAGTAGATCAATCGAAAATAGAACCTCCAACCTCGCAATCTATGGATATTGACGATAAGAAGATTTACGCTGTGCCATTAAAGCCCGAAAATTCGAATATGAACTCGGGACTTAAACGCTCGATTTCTAGTCCTAACCTCATGCAGGTAAAGAAGCTAAAAGCAACCCATCAAGTAAATATCGCTTTTACTTTTTTTCTTGTTTTTTTTCCTATTCTATTTTTTGCACGATGCTTGAAGTTTTGATTATTCAAATATTAAGCATACTATTGGAAAATTCAATTTCAATATTAATACAAAATTTTTAATTATCGACTGCAGGGGAAAAACGACCCCAAAAGGACACCTGATTTCAGTAGATCGTTGAAACCAAACAGAGGATATGATAATTTAAGTTCTGGTATTTCGTTAAAGAACAGAGAACAGTGTATGGAACCTGTTTACGCCAGTCCAGGATCGGTAAGAAAAATGCATATTATCCATTATATAATAAGATTTAATAATGTAATTTAATAATTAATATTTAAAATTTAATAAATAAATCGTGAATTTGCTCGGAAACAATATAAACGAAGAATATTATCTATCTTGTCTATTATCTATCTTATCAAAATATTATTTTAAAATATTTCCTTAATATACATCTTAAAAGCAAAGGAGTAAAAAAAAAAAAATTTTCACACCAAATACAATTAATTAAATTCTTACGTCTTAATAATTAAAACAAAGTAAAGACAATGTAATTACAATTTTCTCTATTTTATTACAAAAGCATCATCGACTTTGCCTTATCATTATAAATTAAGTTTACCTAGAAAAACAAAACAAAAAAAAAAAAAACAATTATCGATATATCAAAAATACTTGTCAATATATTCTCATTAATTTGCATGAATCTGTATAATTCATTTCTTTATAACAAATTAATTTAAATACTTTGTAATATAAAGAAAAAATTTTTTTGTAACATTCGTGTATTCAAAATAGAACATCTATTTATATTTATATACACATATTTTATTCGCATTTTACATATTTTCTGCAAAATTGTAATAAATAATTTTATTATCAATTCACGTTCCATTTCATATTTATTTATTTACATAGAAAATTCTATGACATTATGAATGAAAAAATTATTTTTTTTTAAATCGCAACTAAATTTAATCTCAAGAACAATTTTTTATCAGATATTTATTGATAATTGATGATACATAAAAAAAAACGAATTCTAACTCCATTTTACAATTTGCCTTAAGATATACATTACAAATTAAAAAGGCATGAAACAATGGGTACATTTATTAATCATTTTTGGTCAACAACCTCTTATAATAACTTAAATAAGCTAACTGTTAAAATAAGATATAAAATAATGATAAATTATATATTTTTTATATTGAATTTTTATATAATATTATTGTTTATAAGAATATAAATAATGTATAAAAACGCCCAAAATAAAAATACAATCGCACGTTATAACTCATATGCTCTTGCTTTATTTATTTATTTTTTTTTTTTTAACACATTGTCGTGTTATTTATACCGGTTCAAGTCATATAGAATAAAAAAACTTGTCTTTCGTTTATAAAAATTGTCCATCAATTATCGATTATATATATATATATATATATTTATTTATTACCTAAAAAATTCTTAAACTCTGACGCTGAATCTAGTAATAATTAATTTGTATTAATAATTTTATTAAATAATTTTATTTTTATTATTAATACAATTATATTTGTGCGTAAGATACGTAGTCACGTTTTCGAATTGAAAAACTTTTAAACACGCGACGTAGAAGTATGATAAAAACTATTTGCTGTATCTTGTATGTACTTCGGTATAATCTTCCTTTGTAGCCAATTTGCGTACGCAATATATACTCTACGACTTACCAAATTGATAGCGTATGATGAAATATTTGCAAGAAAATTTAATTCGTACTTTTGAATCTATAAATAATTGTTATTAATAAATCTGGGATCTATAAATGAATAATATAATCAGCTGTTCCATATTGCGATTCAAATTTTATTCAAATTATACATTTATTACTTGACGTAAGCCTAGCCAATACACATAGCAATTAGCGTTAACTTTTTATTTAAGATAAAAATTTCTTTTAATACTAGATAGCCAAGCCATTGAGTAGAGTTATTAAATTAATTTTTTTCTGTTTATTTATATTATTATATACGATTAAAACTTTTCTTTTCTAAGTATTAATATTAATTGAGAAAATATGTATGAATACAAAAAATTTATGCTTCAATTATTTAATGTGTAAACTTTATTTTAATCTCATTATAATTAGAAGTAAAAGAAGTAAGGTTAATTAACGTTATAAATCTTTAAGGAAGTTTTTCATAGCCATTGAGTATCTCATTTAAAGAATCGTAATCTTCAAATTGTAACTTTTATCTTGTTAATTTTATGTTAAAGCTACAAATATTCATTTTTATATATCAATACGGTCATTTAATAAATATTGTAATAATTGTAAGATGATCGTTTTCAAAACATAATATATATATATATATATATATATATATATATATATATATATATATATTAAAGTATTTTATAATTTATATCAAGTCTATTAATTAAATAAAAATATATTTTGGTGAATTCATCTATATGTATTCCATATAATAACTGTATTTATGAAAATTAAATGTATTGTTTTTTGTATTTTTATACAATATTTTCACATTTAAACGAGTAAAAAGTAAGTACGTTAGTTCAATAATATCTTTGCAATAAATTGCACTATAATTAAATATGATTTTTTGTCAATGATATGCTACTTATTATATTTAATCTTAAATGTTAGAAAGAGCAATATTTTCTTAATTTTTCTTTATTTCCGATATATTCAATAACTCTTCCTCCCACGTTTCATATTCTTTATTTTATTACGAGTGGTGATCCCCACGATTATTTCATTATTCTTATCTACGTATAATTTTGTTTGTAATATTGTTTAACTATAAATTATTGCAATTTTCGTCCATTAAATATTTGCTATCGTTATATAAACTTAGTCTACCACTGTCATGCGCGTCGGCTGACTGTATTTTCTATTTTTATTATTTATTTGCTTGGTGCGTTAATTTTAATGTTTATATTACTCTATATTGTCTCATGTGCACTAGTTACTATTAAACAAGTCATAAATTAATTGTGCGAGTTTAAAGAAAGTTCATATTCTCGTTGAATAAAAATTAAAGTAAAATAAATGAAATGTTTTATAAGCGATTGAATTTTGTATAGTAACTGAACAGACAAGATACGAGTACTTAATGACTTTAAAAATATCAAATCTACTATTTCTAAATATATTCTATATTTAAAATAAAACTAATATATTTTCGTGAATGATAATATTAAAGAATCACTGCCCGTTCTCAATTTGTAGTTTATACATGATTATTATTTATAAATTTGCCTTCTTATTACTAATCGTTATTACTGCTGTTGTTGTCCTTGTCGTCGTTGTTGTTTTTATTATTATCATTATCATTGTCATTAGCATTATCATCATCATTATCATCATCATTATCATCATCATCATTATCAATATTATTATTACCATAAACTTCATTATCATCATCATAATCATTACTATCTCCATCACTATCACCGTTACCATCACCATTATCATCATCGTCGTCTTCGTCGTCATTATTATTATCATTATTATTATTATTCCACTATAAATTATTGTATCATTATTTATGCCGCATAAAGAAAAAGCAAAAAAGAAACAAAATTATTAGAAAACGTCCATTCTAAAAGCAAATAATAAATAATAAAGATATATATATATATATAAATTAACTTTGATCGTTCGTTAAAAAAAAAAACAAATATTTTATTTTGCGATAAAGTGTAAAGTTACACACGTTTGTCTGGCTCATGCGAAAGACAATAAAATCAATTAATTTATTTTTTAATTTGTTAAGATATCGAGCATATCTCGGCCAACACCGTGAAAATATTACATTATTAAGTTTCCGGCTGTCGATGGACATCGAATGAAACATAAAAAATAAAGCCATTGAATTCCATCTGAACGCAGCTCCAAGTATTCTCTTGCTCATATATCGTTTCGACTAATATGTAGCGATACGCGAAAACTATTAGAGATCGATGTTGTAATTGAACGAATTCATTATCTTGGGTTAAATATTGCCAAGCGAAGACACCTGTCTACCGATAATATTATTATACGATAGCTTTTGATGAATTAACGAAACGCATATCTGTATCGTCTCGTCGCAAGTCAAACAAAAATCGTCTATAATTGACGACATAAACTTTGCTCAGTTGTTCGCGGGAGCAATTCCCAGTACATCTCGCCATCAGCTGATCGTCACACTCTTGCAAGTATGGAGGAAAAAAATGCGAGACGAAGGATGGAATGGAGAAGAGAGGAGAAACGCGCCGAAAATCGCGCGCGTGCAGAGACGGCCGCGTTGACTCCGTGACGCTATTGTGTATCTAACGTCTACTGTTCTTTTGCGTACGGTTGGCCTTGATTGCGTGCGTGCGTGCGTGCGTACGTGCGTACGTGCGTACGTGCGTACGTGCGCCCATGCGACGAAGACGATGCTGGTGCGCGCGCGTTTGTATATAAAAATTCGCGGTAGCGGATAAATGCAAAATCACTCGTACGAGCAACGAACAAATCGCTATATGTAAACATACTCACATTGCCGAGCCTATAGTCGGTAATTGCTTTTTTAACGAATCGGGACACTCCAATGTCGTGATCGCCGCGGTTGAGTGGCGGTGGTAAAGGCGGGGTATGGAGGGGAGAGGGAGAGGGAAGCGAGCTCGAGCGCTGATAATGAGGATCTCTCACGCGACGTTACATCTAATATGCGATAATTTTCTTATCACGTGTCAGTTGGCTGGTAGCGCTCTCACTGGCACCTCGCGCATCACCAACCGATTCCACTTGGCGGCTCCTCCCGTCGCGGTTTCCGCGTGCGTTACGCGCATCTCGCCTCTCCGCCCCGATCCACTCCTCCTCCTACTCCTCACCCACTAGCGTTCTCTCTCTCTCTCTCTCTCTCTCTCTCTCTCTCTCTCTCTCTATCTCACTCACTCACCCACTCACTTACTGACTCTCTCACCCACTCTCTGTCTACCAAACAAAAACAAAAAAAAAAAAAACAAACAAACAAACACAAAATGGTGCAAATCAAGTTCTTCAACGTTGTTGACAAACGAAACCCCGTAAGTAATTTTTAACAATTGAACACTAAGGCTAGGAGAGATTGCGTTATTTACTCAAGTTTCCGAAAATCGAGTAAGCTTTAAGAATCCGTTATTAATTAATTTTGTGACTTGTGCTGTTGAAACGATCGATGATTTTGTCGTTCTTGAGTCACGGGGTTAGCGAGCGTCCGGAGTTAAAAAATGTCAAAGTAACCGTCCGA